CTGCTGTGACTTGTGCCAGCCACACGACTTCCCTGAGCTGCACCATCTCCCTGTAGCCCTGAGGATGACCTCCCATTTTGTGTCTGGGGGAAAAAGCCACTCGTTCAGGAGTTTCAATGGGAAGCACTTTCCTTCTCTACCCAGTGCCTGTTTATAATTCCTTCTCCGAAGCTGCTGCGGGTTTCACAAAAGCCATGCTGCTCTCCCAGACCCATTTTACTGGGCTGCTTTCTTTGCTTCTGAAAAAGATAAATTCCCCTTTCATTTAGCTTGGATCTGCCACCAGTAAAATCCTTTTTCCCAGGAGGAAGGTAGCACTATATAAATACCAGGGGAAACCAGAGAAGTGGGGTCTGAGCCTGCCTGCCACCCGCAAGGAAAAAAATAGCTTTGGTCTCTGAGGGATAGTTACTGGTTACTTTGTAGATTGTCAAGAGAAGAAATTACCCGAGTCAAAATGCAGTGACTGCATTTCTCTGGCAAAAGTTTCTTGTGCCATAAAAACAGCTGGCAGAGCTGAAGCTTTGGGGAGCTGAATCCACTTCACTTAGTCTCCCTGAGCCACCGTCAGAGGCAGGTAATAAACACCATTATTAAAGAATGAGTAATTTGCTGCAGCTCTAGCACAGTGAATTTGTACAGCAGATCCCTGCTTTTGCATGGTACCCAACTCCTTCCTGTTCTCAGCCCAACCTGCAGACGTCACCATCACTTGCAGAGAAGTGACCAAGTACTCAGAAAAAATTTGGCCATTAAAATCTCCCCTCTACCACCTACAAGCTCCCTGGAGCAAGCCCCAAAAGGGCCAATCCTGCCCAGCCCAGGAGCTTATGGCAGAGCAGTCTGTGGGGCCCTGGCATGGGCATGGGCACTTCAGGCCATTTTGGTTTGTCTGCCCCCCTCACAGCCCCTCTGCTTGTGTTGGGATGTACTCACATCTTCCCAGGACCATCTTTGACTTCACTAGGTAATACAAAGCTCTGACCTTTCTGCCCCCCTTTTCCTGCCTATTTTCTGAAGTTCTGGACCTGGGCCTGTGACTGGCAGGTTCCACTTGCAGGAGCTGCAACTCCATTGCTGCTTTCAGGGTGGTAATTTCAGGCAACATCTTTAGACAGGTTTTCTCTATTTGTAGAGCTGGAGATTGGCAAATGATTGGCTTTTCTGAGTAAAGGGCCAAGGCATAGCATTAGACAGGGAAAAAAAATCCTTTACAGGTTTCCTCCAAATTGTCCTTCTGTGGCTGTTTCTGTGTCAAGTGAAAAAGGCAGCAAGCCAAACACTTTGCTCAGCCTGGAAGGGAAGGCTACAACAATCCCCAGTGTTTCTTGGGTGCATCACTTAAACCAGCTTCCTTCTGGAGTGAAACACTCCAGGTATGTTTTGAAAACCAGAGCTGGTTGCAGGATTTGTCCCCAAGCTATGTGTCTGGAAGCTCAACAACTGGTGTGAAAAACTGGCCCAAGGCACATCAGAGATTCAATGCCACGTGTGACAGCCACACTGATGCTGCTCCTGAGCTGGGCAGAGGTTTCTCTGCAAATCCTTCCCGCTCTCCATGACTTCCATGGAGGCATGGAAGGACAAGAGGGTCTCCACCCAGCAGGAACATGCTGGGAGGGAAGCACCACGAGCAGAATATCCTCCCTCAGCCCACGCAGGACCAACAGTGCAGCTCACCCCGTGCACAGCTGCCTCTTTCAACACACTGTGATGCTGGATGGGAGCAAGAAGCAAGCTGAGTCCTCTCCCAGGGGGGTGGTGTCATGGGCTGGGAAGAGAAATGGCCCAAGAGGAAATGGAAAACATCCATACAGCAAATGAAGGAGCAGTCCAGAGGAGCATCAGCAAGGCAACTTGACCAGGTCATGGAAAAGAAAATGTGATATTGTTTTGTAACAGCTTTGTTTCCATACTATTTGGAAGAAAATTTAGCACTATCCTCTGCATCATCCTGGAGTCTGATATTGTGGGATTGTGGGATGGCTGGGGGCAGCTTCTGCCTTTCCTCTCATTATATTCCTGACAATAGAATAAGCCAGTGTGAACTGCCCCTCCTCAGACTCAGAGGGCACATCTCCACTTGAGTATTCCTTGGCAATATGGAATTTTGGAATATGGAAGAGTCTCGACATCTGGTTTGGATTGCACTTTTTGACCCTAGTAATAATTTTAACACCTTGAAGTTTGTCTGGGGCTGCAGATGTTTGCCAGATGGGGAGACAGCAATCCACTTATTTGCTGGACCAGGAAATTATCTTACTGCTGATAATTGGAAACTTAGGACTTGGAAAAGTAAGCTAGAAAAGTGTCATCTCCACAACTTCAGTTCACTTTTAAAGAGAGAGCAGATCATTGGCAGATGAATTAAACGTCTGAACCACAGAGGAGCCTTGTGAATCCCCAGGAGAATCAGGACACAGTAAGCAAGGTGGAAATAGCCCTGAGCTGAGACAGGGAGACATGGATAAAATAAACAGGGCAGTGGGGAGAGGAGGGTGCTGCATGCACCAGCCTTCAGGGTGCTAATGAATCATTTGAGTACGGATGTGTTCTGAACAGAGACAAATGAGCAGTCCTTAACAGACGCTTTGCATTGCCAGCTTCAGTTGATAACAGGGGGATTTTCAGGGAGATGTGAGCATGGAGTTAGGTGCTGTGGCTAAGCTGCTCTATCAGCAAGGCACAGCTGTGAAGGGGAGGACATCTTTCTGTGCCCCCAGCAACTGCTGCCACCTTGAGTGCTACGTCCCTGTCCCCGTTTTGGTCTTGGATGGTGCAAGTCTCTCACCAGGAGGAAAGGCAGGTCCCATCTGCCTGACCACTGCTGTGCTGGGTGCAGGGATGTTGAAGGGAGATCATCCCTGGGATGCAGACCTGCACATGGTCCCAGGCTGGGCTGCAGGGCAAAGGGGAACACGGCTGTCCTGGAGGGGAGCATGAGGCACAGGTCTCTCCAGCACAGGGCACTGATGCTCTCAGAGTGCTCTCTGGGGACGATGGGGAGCAGGGTCCCATAGTAACAGCAGCCATGAATGGCCTGTGGGACCTCATGAGCAGGAGAGCCTTGAAGCAAAGATGATGGGACTGGAGAAAAGGGTCTGGGTAAAAGTGCCTACTTGGAGAAGAGCATAGAGCCATTTAGGATAACCATTGTGTTCAGTTCAATACTGGGTATAAATAGTGATGGAGAAAACCTGATGTGAAATCGAGGACTAGTCATTAGCAGAGGAAAATCAGCCATGAGCAAAATTACAGTCTGCCAGCAAGAGCTTCTGTGCGTCTTTCTGCAGCAGAGAGAGTGTCTTTATAGTAAACACATCTTGAAGGACCTCTGTGATCAGTCCAAGTGGGATACTTGCTGTTCCTTTGGGCACTCTGAGCAAGGAGCCTGATCTGGGGCAAGGGGCTGGGCTGCCTCTGTGCTGGAGGCATTGGAGCCCAGGTGTCCGTGAGTTTGGCTCTCAGTGCCTCTGCTTACATGGATCTTTCTAAGTAGGTTTTCTACACTGAGGGCAGAACGCCAATGCCCCTCTCCCCAGAGAGCAGTCTCAGTGTGATTCCTTAGGGTGGTCCTGAGCTGAGGAAGAGAAGGTTGAATCCCAAACCCAGTCTCAGCTCATGTTTCTCCAGACAGTGATTTAGATGCTGTAGCAGGCAGGGGAATCAGTCTCCTCTCACCCTCAACTGGTATTTTTTGGCTCAGATGAGAAGTGAAATCCCAACAGCCTCCAAAACTGTCTTCACTGGCTAATGCCTCAAAGGGCAGGAGATGCTGACAGTCCCAGCAGCGACCACACCTGGGAGTCATTGCCCTGACCCCACTGCCTCCCAGCAACCCTGCTGGGTCCCCATACAGGAAAGTGAAGAGGCCTCTGGTGAAAGCAATCCATCAGCTTTGTTTGGTGTCATGTGCCCCTTTAAAGCCCCTCACAGGGGCTTCTTGTTGAGGGTGCTGCAGAGCTGCTGTTTGTTTGGATGCAAACCCATCAGGAGTGCTCTGAGGCTCAGGACTGTCCCGCTGTGGCTGTTGGAATGCCAGAACTTGCCCATCCCTGATCCTGTCCTGGTCCACTTCCCTGGCCCAGTGCTGCCAGTCAGGTCACCCACTCTGCTGTGCCTCGGCTGGGCACCCCATGGCCACCCTGCTGCCCGGCAGCTCCAGACCAGCCGCAGGAGCAGCCCCAACCCTGCCTGCTCTCCCCCCGGTCCCTGTACACAGAACAGCCTGCAGAACTTCCGACAGCACCTTATTTACTTGTTTGCGTCTCCTGCTTAAAACAGGCCATGCCGAGAGAGTCCAAACCTGCTAATTTTACACCTAACCACCCACACCACCATGTGCTTTATTTCCATCACCATCCATGCTTCCTTCCCGCATCGTAGCTCGATGAGCCCTTCCCGTACCTCTGGTGCCCGAGGGGCACGGCGGGCGCATCCCTGCCGGCTGGCTGATCTCCGGCCCGGCGCCGTGCCCTCGCTGGATGAGCCAGGGCCAGCCGTGGGGCGCTGGGGCGCCGTAGCCTTCCCCAGAGATTTGGGCACTCGGACACCGGGCCCCGGCTGTGCCCGCAGCCGCCGGCCCGGCCCCGCTGCGCTGAGGGTCGGGAGCGGCCGGGGCGGTGCGGGATGTGCGGGACTCCTAGGGGGGTGCGGGACTGTTGGGGCGGTGCTGGGCTGTTGGTGCGGGGCTGAGCTGTGCTGTTGGTGCCGGGCTGTGCTGTTGGTACGATGCTGTTGGTGCGGGGCTGTGCGGTGGGCGCTGCGCGGCGCTCCGGGGACACCTGGTGGCCGCCTGGCCAGCGCCGGACGCGGCCGGGGCGGGGGACACGGCAGCCCGGACCGCGCTGGGCCGCCGCACAGCCCGTGTGTGTGCAGGCAGCCCGGGGTGAAGGCGGGTGTTGTGGGAATGCTGCCCGGAGGCGATGGCGTTTCCAGTGCTCCCCTGCTGATGGGATGCGCACCGGCAGTGTGTCCCCACCAGAGCTGGGGACAGGGAGGGGTGGGAGCCCCAGCCCTGGAGAGCCCCTGGAACGGCTTCTCCAGGACCAGTCCAGCTCTTCCCTGCCAGCCCCAGGGATGGATTTGCTGCTCCGTACCATCCGGAGCAGTACCTCAGTTCTGAGCATAGCTGGGTCAGAACACTGCCGCAGAGAAACGTTTCTATCAGAGACAATAAAGACCCGGTTTCCACCTGGAAATTGCCCAATTTGACTTGTGATCCTTGAAAAGCAGCCCATGGCATCCCAATTCTCAGAGCAATTTAGTCTCTGTTGGAGCCAGCAGCCCTTTGGTACTGGCTTTCCACCTGTAGGAGATCAGAACAAGCATTTTATTCACTCCTTTCCAGCTCTATCAAACCAGCTGCATCAAAGGTGTGAGTCAGATTCTCTACATCACAAATGCCTCAGCTATCCTCTCTCTAATCCAAGTCCAGGCTTTGTGTCACCTTCTTCCTTCCCTCCTGGTCCTCACCAGCTCTTTCCCCTCCAGCAGCTTCATAGTCCTTTTCTTCTCCATGTTTGTGACCAGAGTTCCTCTCTGCCTGGCTCAGATGTCACTTTGCTTCCCCTGCCCCATGCCTCTTGCCCACCATTTCCCTTCCCACTGCTGTCCCCACTGTGCCCTTTTGTTTCTCTGGATACCATCTCTGCCAGCCCCATGGGGGCCATCATGTCTCACCACCCTTCCCTCCTGCCCCACACTGAGACCTGCCTCCCCCACATCACTCCCCTGACCTTTCCAGCCCCCAGCTCACCTCACCTGATGCCACAGCAGCCCTTCCCAGCACTGGTGGAGGCTTTGTTACACCCTGGGCATGAGCAGCCCCTCGATCTACACACTTGTGCTGTGCCCAGGCCAGGGGCAGCGGTGTCAGACGAGCACCCATGGGAGTGCTTCAGTGCTGACTGGAGCCAAACTGCTTTCTGCAGTCATGTCTGTGGGGCTGATGGAAGCACTTCCTTCTCCCCTTGAGCTGTGGTTCACCCTGCAGGGCTCAGGGCTGGGACATGCCAGGGATCCATGCTGCTGCACAGGGCTGAGAGGGGGCTTGGTCCACTGCTGCCAGACGCATTGTCCATGAGCTCTCACAGCCATTCCTTCCCCCCCTTTCCAAAATGACAGCTGCCCAGGCAATGCTGTGCCTCAGCAGCTCTTGTGAGATGGTTTTCTCTTCAGCAGAATCACAAGCTCAGATGCCCTGGGGCAGAGATACTGCATCCTGACTGGACCTGGGCCTCTGCTTAGAAGATCCAAAGCACCTCCTGATGGCTTCTAGGAAGGTCTGGGCCCAGGGACAGGTGCTCAACAAATCTCCTATGCTTTCCTCTTCCATCAGGAGTGGGTCCACATCTGTCCTGGGGCTATGGCAGCTGTACCTGGCCGTGGTGCTGCTTAACATCACTGGATCAGGACCAGGCATTCACGCTGTCCCCTGCCCTCAGACCAGCCAGGGCATGGCAGTGCAGCGGGACACCAATGCCCGAGGGCACCCACCTCCCCTGGTGCTGTCCCAAGGGTAAAGCCTTCAGCCAGGGTGGGCTAACCTTCTCACTCCGGAGTCTGGGGACAAGCACCACAGCCACAACCTGCTAATGAGCCCGAGAAGCAAGGCAGAGTGTTTGCTTGACAGGGCAATTAAATGATGATTGATTCCTGAACAGCTACTTAATTCATCATTAGCTGGCTTATCATAGCCGGCATCTGTGCCAAGGGTCCCTCTGAGAACTGCCGCACGGGAGGTGGTGTGGAGGTGAGATCTCTGAAATACAAAGCTAAATTTGCTACCTCTTTATTTTCGTGCCTTATTTTGGCTCATTTTACCCAGCACTTGCCTTAAGAAGCTGAGAGCACACAACACAGCTGTGCATTCCCCACTCTGCTGGGGGCTGCTGGGGAGTGTGGGGGCCCGCTCAGGCAGCTGGTTACAGGAGCAGCCGAGCTCAGGGGGAGGCAGTTCAGAGGGAGCCAGCAGCTGTCAGGCAGCAGCAGAGCCGCAGCAATGGTTCAGCTCAACTAGGGCATCGCAGGCTGCCTCCTCCCAGGTGTGCCCAAGCTGTGTGTGGATGCTTGTCTGTGCATCCTCCTGTGCACCTAGCAGCACATCTGTGTGTGTGTGCATCCTCCTGTGCAGCACATCTGTGTGTGTGCATCCTCCCTGTACACCTAACAGCACATCTGTGTGTATGTGTGTGCATCCTCCTGTGCACCCAGCAGCACATCTGTGTGTGTGTGTGCATCCTCCTGTGCAGCACATGTGTGTGTGTGCACCCTCCTGTGCACCTAGCAGCACATCTTTGTGTGTGCACCCTCCTCCTTGTGCACCTAGCAGCACAATCTGTGTGTGTGCATCCTCCTGTGCAGCACATCTGTGTGTGTGTGCATCCTCCTGTGCAGCACATCTGTGTGTGTGCATCCCCCCATGCACTCAGCAGCATCTCACCTCCATTTCCTGCTGCCAGTACAGCCCAGACCAGCCCCATGGGGCTGATGGATGCTATCCAGGCTTGCTGGCAATCAATGGCCAGTCTTTGACAATTTTGTCTTTTACTGTGTTCTTGCTTTCGTCTTCTGACTTCACTCCTCTTTCCCCAAGCTTGGTTATTAACAGGCTTTCTTTCTCACCAGGCTCATTTTATTACTAGGCTTCCTTTTTTAAGTCTCTATGTAGCTAAATTCCCTGTAGGATTCAGATAACCCAAGTGGGGTTTGGGGACAGCTGCAGGGCTGGTCTGACTCTCTCCTTCCCTGCACATGTGCATGCAGGGCTGGGCCTCACCCTCTCTGCCATTCCCTCTCTAATGTCATCTCCAGAGGCTTGATGGCCCTGGTCAGCACCTGTGAACCCAGACCATTGTGTACACAGCCTCTGTGTGATGTGCTGATCCTGGTGACCGAGGAGGGGGAAGCATCTCTAACCCCTCTGGTACTGGCACCTTTCACAGTTCACCATTGTTGGAGAGGAAGGTTTCAGCCTGGCTGCTCTCCAGCAGGGCTGAGCACACTGCTGTTAGCGTGCTGTGACACTGGCTCTCATTTTCCCCTCCCCACTGCTGGCAAATGCCAGGACTGGGCACAAAGGCTGCAGTTGGTGACTCCTTTGCTCATTTATCAGAAGGTCTGTGAGATTTTCTTCTGCCCTTTTCCCTTGTCCCTGCAGTCTCCCAGGGAGAGCATGATCCCCAACTCCCAGGAGTGGAAGGCAGCAAGGAAAAGAGACTTTAGTACAAGTAAATCTTTTTTCATTCCAGAGGGTTTAGGACTAGCACAGGCTAAAGCCTTGTAACTGTATCCCTGCCCTGTCCATGCTTTGTGCAGCAACTCCAAGATCCTGGCTCTGCTCTAAGGACAGCTCCAGGACAATCTGAGGGACCAGAAAGGTTTGAGCTCACTCCACTTCCTTGGGATGAAGCCTCAGCCCTGCCCAGCCCACATTCACAGACTTCCTCATACTTGAGGAGTTTTTTCCTGTGATTTCTTTTGACTGTTACTTTTCCAAGGTATGTTCAGCCTTGGACATTTGCTGTCTGCAAGCCCTTGCTGCCTCTTCCCCAGAGCCCAGGTCAGTGAGGCATCTCCCACTAGCCCTTCTAGCATCCTCTGGGACCCAACAGAGTCCATGTCCAGCAGCAGTCCAGCTGCACAGATGCACTCCTCCCACGCTGCTTCCCTGCACCTCCCAAACTGCCTTTTAGGTTTCCAATTCCTCCCAGCTCCTTTCCCTTCTTTCCCCCTCCCACTCTGTTTCCCAGTGCTGGCTGCTGTGAGTGTGTGGCTTTTCTGAGCAGCTCTGCTCCTTCTCCCGCCTGCTGCTGAGGACCATGGGCAGCACAGCCGGTTCCACACGGGCAGCACCGTACCCGGGTCCCTCTGCTGGTGCTCCTCGGCACATTTGGCACTGGCTCCCTTCAGCAGTTCTCAGCAAGATCCCATTCCTTCCTACCCTAGCTTGCTGCCAGAATCATGTCTTGAAATAAGGCATGGACGCTGTACTAAAACTGTCAATTTTCTCTCGCTAGTGCTGGGCTCCTGCTTTGGCAGCTGCTCTCAAATGGCACTTGGTGACTCTCCTTACAGTTTTGTTAAAAAATAGGTTATTTTATTAGAAATCTAATTTGCTTGTTAAGGTAAGCAAAGAAGAGGATTGTAGTTTCCTTGTCTGAAAACTGGGATGTAGCTTTGAGCTCGTCTGTGCAGAAAATAAAACCATCTTTGCTATAAATATGCATCTCTCTTAAATATTTTGAAAATACTTAATGGCCATCTGCTGCACGAGCCACTACCAGCTTTACAAGTAAGGTGGGAGACTGTGGAAGGCAGGGAATGGTTTTAGGAAGGGAGAAGTGAAGGGAATTCACCAAAATGCACAGTGTTTTAGCAGCACGAGAGGGCTTTTGAACAGTTTCATTTTCCTGAGCAGATTTCCAAAATGTGAGGACCACTGCCCAAACAATGCCAATGGACAGGTCCATTTAAAACCATGCATGGCTCTCCATCTGCCTGGTGTGGAAGAATTTGGCCAAGGAAACAGGATCACTTGGGCTTTTCAGTTTCTGAAGTCTTCATTTTCTCTGTTTCTATTTCCCTCTTGAGGCTTAAAGCCAAGATGATGTGCTGTCTATCAGAAAACCCAGTGCACCTCAGGGACTCTTACAGCAGGAGGAAGTGTGACCCTGCTGCACAGCATCCTGCAGAGGAGTCAGTGACCCAGGTCTCCAAGGAGAACAAGAACATTTGAGGTTGCAAGGCAATAAGGTGGCATGATCTGGGAGCTGGGAAAATGCTAAAGAGATTGTAGAACCTGGGGCTCAGGGAGTGAAGAGGGCAAAGTAATTGTTTCTCTCTCCTGAGAATGCTGATATTTCACTGTACTTCTTCTTTGTTCCAAAGTGAGTTGGGAAACCAAAATAGTAAATGCTCCTCTGAAGGAATGGGGTGGAAATATTTCATCTGAAAAATTTTCATGGAAAAAAAATGAGAACAGTGCAAGCCCTCAGCACTCTGAAATGGAGGAAGGCACAGGGAAGTGAACTTCCCTGAGGAAGAAATCCATGTTGACATTTTTAGCTGAGGATCTCCTCTGGACTCGGCATTTTCTGAAGCTGCTGGCCCAGAGCCAAGGATGTCTGGCTGCCGATGTACCCAGGGGTGGAGCTGGTTGAAACAGCACTTTGATGTGATGGATCATTTACTCAAAATTTCATCATTTCAAAGGGATGACCAAACCCCATGGAGTCTCCCCTTTAATGTCCACATCTTTCTGTTCCTCCTCACAGCTGGCTGAGCATCCAGCACTCCCATCCCAGCCTAAGCACCACCTCCATATCCTCACAGCAGCCCCCTGGCTTCCCTTGGTGGCTCATTGCACTTGCCTCATCCCCAGTTCAGGCTTGGATGAGTCCTAGAGAACTTCCCATGCACCTGAAAGCCAGTTATGTGTATGTGTAATGTCCAGTGGGATATAATTCACCATGCAGCCCTCTGCTTTGGGGAGGCAGGGAGGCTCCTGGAATGATTGTCAGTCTCTTATCTACTTCTGTGCTGTCAGTCACAGCGCACATTATGAACCAGCAGAAAAGATGCAGTAGGTCCTTTCCTGTCAGGTTGCACATGGCCAACTTAAGATGCATTATAGATACAGCAAGTCCTCATGCTAATCCAGCCTGAATCAGATAACCTTACTGCAGGGTTTCATCCTTATCTTGCTGCCACCTGGGGAGATAGCGTCCAAGCTGTGCAGAGGTGGGGAGGGACCTTGTTTTCTCCAGTATTGCCAATTTTTTCTGTTCCCACTAGCCTCTTGACATTGGCTGTGCTTTTGTGCTCCTTTGCCTTGCTGAAATAACAGCCTGCTCCATGCCACCCCTCTGCTCCTGCAGGATCTCCCCCCAGCACCGCCGGCAGCATGGAGAGCGTGCGTGAGCTCCAAAACCCGCTCCTGGCCAAGCCCAATGGCCACCTGGGCAACAGCTATTCCTACCACCAGCACCACAGCCAGGACTACCCCAGCCATCGCTGCCAGGGGAAACTCTATTCCTACATATTCCAAAACACTGGTGGTGCCAGGACTCACCAGCTGCTGGATGCCAGTTCCCTGCAGCTGGCTGTTGAGGCTTTGTATGGCCCCAGCTTCATCCTCGTGAAGGATGAGACTGCCCTCAAGGCCAAGGACAGCAAGATGGAAAGCTGCGAGACCACTTTTACAGAGAGCAAAGAGTCTTCATCTGAAGCTCCTGAAGGGCAAGAGGCACAAGGGTCCTGCCTGGTAGAGAGTGACATCCGCATCCAAACTGTTTCCTATGAGGTGGAGGAAGAGGAGCTCCAGGAGTATGAGGTGAGCTTGGACAGGTAGGATGGCACTAAACTCCTGTGCTCATTCTTTCTGGAATTTGGTTCAAATTCTTGATAATTTATTCTCCCTTCTTTACCCAGAACTCCCCCCCAAATCCTGCCATCTCCTGCCTCACCAGCCTCCCTGTGCACCCAGTATTTTTTCTTCCTCCTTATAATTTCTGCTCCTTTTTCCTCACTGCTGACCTCAGAAGGAAGTCAGCTTTGCTAAGAGAAGCCTGGCTGCCTGCTGCTGGGAGCAAAAGGGATGTGGGTCTCTGCAGGACCCTTGGGAAATGGGAATGCTTTGAGAAGGGCAGCCTGCTGCTGCTGGGGCACTCGAGCTAAAGAGAAACAGCAATTCTTGCATAACAGCAAAATTCCCATGCGTGATGGCAGCAGCTGAGAGAAAGCTTTATAGATATATATAAAGACAGGATGAATCCTGCACAGGAAGAATGAGAGCTGACAAAGCAGCCTCCTTGCTGTGCTGTGCTGTGCTTGAACAGTGGTGCCAAGGCTGGGAAACATCATCCAGGATCCTGAGAGGTGGGAGAGGGTCCCAGAGCCCACTGGAGCTGCTGCCTGATGACCCAGCACAGCTCTGCTTCTTTTGGCGTGGGTGACGCAGCCTGTTCAGACAGCAGCAGGGATGTCCCCAGCTCTGTGTGCCTTCCCCACCAAGGCACATCACCTGCAGGGTGCTCTGAGGCTGGCCCAGCAGTGCCCCAAGGCAAGAGGGCTCCCCACAGCCACTGAGCAGTGACTCACCAAGGGCACAGGCCATGCTGCCCTGCAACGGAGGCTCCACTTCAAATGCTTTCCCTCGCTTCCTAAATTAGTTTAGCAAGATATTGATCTCCTAGACTCTAATGGGGATAAGTCACTCTGTTTAAGTTTGTTTAAGCTGACAAACAGTCAGTTCTACCAAAGCTGAAGATATTTCAGCTTAAGACTCTCTCTAATGCAGGGAAATCCCAGACCCCCAGCATTTGCTCTGGCAGGGAGCCGAGAATCCAATTTGCTGAGCTACATTGTTCCTCATCAAACCATGCTGAAGAGTGTAAAATATTTCTGAAATTTACTCCCTGAATGTGCCAGTGGGAATTGTATGAGAACATGTGATGGGATCAGGAGAGAGGGGGAGCTGGGAGGCGGGGTGCTGAGATGCAGCCTGCAGAGAGGCACGGGCAGGTGGACATGTGCTGAATCCATCTGGTTTTGCAGAGCGACTCCTCCAGCGACAGCGAAAGCGAGGATCACTTCCTGATGCTGCCCCCTCGGGACCACTTGGGCTTGGCCCTTTTCTCCATGCTCTGTTGCTTCTGGCCCCTGGGGATTGCTGCCTTCTACTTCTCCCAAGGGGTAAGGAATCCCTTTGCTTGCCTGCATGTGCCTAGTGTTACAGCAAGGGCCCTGAAAGCCTCAGCAGCCCATGGAGGTGACCAGCACCTTTCTGAATCTAAGGCTCATCTCTGTGCCATGGCCATAACTCTGAGGGTTGACACAAAGGGTGCTCCTGGATGTCTCCACAATTGTTGTGGGGTTGGAACCCCTCCAGTTCTGGTGTGGGTTACTGGAAGTCAGGCTTTTCCTTTGGGTTTTCTGGCTTTTATTTATGGAACTGGGGCTCCTCTTGGCCCCTTGCCCAGCTTCTCACTCTCAAGCCAGGTTCAGGAAAATGGCATTTTCCCACCTGTTCTCCCGGTCTCCAGTAATGTGAAGGTTCTACACCATGACCCAGGCTGAGGCAGCTCATGCCACAGGAGCCAGGCTGCTCTGGAGGCAAAGGGGAGCTTGGTGTCTGTATCACACTACAGCTCCTCTCTGGCACTCATTTCTGATGCACATTGGCTGACCAATGCCAGTCTGGCAGAGGCTGGAGAGGCAGTGGCCCTCAGGCTGCAGCACTCACAGGAGCTGCTGTGTCCCTGAGGACTTAGCCTGGAGCCTGGGCTCACTTACACTGCTGTTGACCCAGAATAATTCATGCAGAGCCAGAGGATTTACTCCACATTTGCATAGATGCTGCTGTACCAAGAATAGATGGGAGGAGGCATTAAGAAGTTAAATCAAGAGGATGGGAACAGAGGTGGAAAAATATATTACATGAGTTCCTGGCACAGAGTTGGTGAAAGGCAGGGGAAGCATTAATTGATTAGGAACCCAAGGAGCAAGGGGTCTAAGGGGTTGCTAATCATTAATTGATTAGCAACCCCAAGGAGTTGATTTCACACTTTCCACATAGTGCAAGATAGCACAGTGCACTCTCCACGTGGTGATGTAGGTGGGGCAGTTTATATCTAGTTCCATTTTCTATAACTACTCCCTTTGTTCACTCACTGAGGCAAGGACCATATCTTTGTTTGGTGTCTTTGCACATTGAGTGCATTGATGCATCCCTGGCAACTTGAACTCAAGTAGTAGGTAATAAGAGCATATTGGGGTATGCCCTGAGCACTCAGAGAAGCTGGAAGTTGCCATCCTTTTCCAGAGACATAAGGATCTGTCTCCACTGCTAGTTTCATCAGCCCTTCAGGAGCAAATAGGCTTCAGCTGAAAACCCCATGCAGGAAAAAGCCCCATGCAGGAAAAATCAGGGGGACCAACAGACCATGCCATCAAGAGTCAGCTCCCTGAGCCTAGGCAGTTCTCATTACAGCTCTGTATAGGGTGCACTGGTGTCTAGTCAGTACCACACAGCCATCACCTCATGCACTGAGGTCTCACAAGAGTCCAGCCACCTTGCTGTCTGTTCCCAGCCTCCATGGGGTGCAGTGGCCAGAAGCACTGACTCAGAAATGAAACAACTGCATGCTGGTTAAAGGCCAGGTTGGTACATGTTAAAGGCCAGCTGTCAGCAACAAGCATTTCTTCTCCTTCCAGACCAGCAAAGCTGTCTCCAAAGGAGATTTTCACCTGGCCAGCTCAGCTTCCCGCCGAGCCCTGTTCCTTGCGGCGCTCTCCATCACCATTGGCACGGGAGTGTACATCGGCGTGGTGGTAGCACTGATTGCTTATCTCTCCAAAGGGGGCCACGTGTAGCTGCCACCTGCATGTCACTGCCATCCCTGGCCACTGACCCTGCTGGGATTGAGCTTTCCTGCGGAGCACAGAGCACCGGGGCCTGCGAGGGCTGCTTGCACAGCAGGGCCCAGCATGGATGTCCTGCGCAGGTTTCTTCCTCTTGCAGACAAACAGTGGACTCCTGTTCTCCCTGAGGCTGTGGCATGTGACCATCTAACAGCAGGGAATTGAGCACCAGCCTGGCTGCTGGGACAAGGAGGAGCACATTTGCCCGGTGGAAGATGTGCAGGAGAGAAACCACACGCTGCTGCTGGGCTGGTGCAACCACCCCAGTCGGGGGCTACAGCTTCCCCTCCCAGCCCCGCAGCTGGGAGATCCATCCCTTGCCCAGGCTTGGCCCATGAAGGGTACACACAGGGAGAAGAGGGGGTATGGTGCCAGGGAATGACTGCTGCTTCTCCTGGGAGGCCAGAGTCCTGGTGGGGTCTCCAGACTCCTGTGATGGGGACAACATTCCCACTTCAGTGCCACGGGGTGGCTGACCCCTCAGCTGCAGTGAAGTAGGAGGACAGAGCATGGACAAGACCAACAGGCATGCTCTCTGCAGACAGACAGACCCCTGATCCACAGGAGAACATCCCAAGGAGGAAGGCAGGCTGGTGGCTGCACACCATCTCTCCTGTTGTTGGCACAAGCTGGTAGAGACAGCAAGGTTTTCCCTGTGTTAATAGTGACTGCCATGGTGATCCCAAGGCAGAGCCCTCATAAGGTTGCTGTCCCAGAGTGCTGGGCCCTCAAAAGTTTTGTAATGGAAATCTCTACCTAAGAAGTGTCCTGGGAGGCGTGCTGGCCTTGAAGAATTCCACTCCTTGTGCTAGGTCAGGGCCCTGCACAGAAAGAGGGATGGGAAAAAAAGGCTGACAAAACCTGCAGAATCTGGGGTGGGAGTGCTGTTTGTGAGGGGATGAGATCCAGAGAAGGAGGAGACGTGGAAGGAGCCTGAGACACAGGGTGACCTCAACACACTCCTTCCCATGCCTTGGAGAGAGGAATCTCCATCCATCCAAAAGCATCTGGTAACAAGGAAATACCAAGCACCCCCTGCCATACATCTTACTTTTGCTTATTTGTATATTGTCAGCAACACACGAAATGCTTCAGAAGTGGGTATGAAGGCAGTGGTTGCCCCAAAGGGCTGGAGCTAAGAAGCCATGCCTCACCCCCACTCCCCAGCATCCACCTTTGACCACCCTCCTCTCTCTGGCTCTCCTGTTGCCTCTTTCCCCATGTGCAGGAGACTGCAGGCAGGCTCTGGGCATCCCTCACCCCCTTCCCAGAGTTTCTGGGCAGGCTGCAGCCAGCTTTGCAAGAGATGCAGCATGTTCCTCCAGCTGGGTGCCATTCAAATGTACATTTCATCCTAAAGAAGCATGTTAATGTCTGCGATTGCCATTGTACTTGAGCCATAAAAGAGAGAAGTGCATCAGAGACCTGTACAGAAGCTGGTCTGAAAGTTCCCATTATGTTTTTTAACATGGAAGAACTAATAAAAAAAGCGGGAGAAAATACTCTGTTTGTAATAATGTGGAGCTGGCTATCAAAGAGGTGAGCTTCACAAGAGTGTCACACTCACTTAAACCTGGAGGTGTTTATGCTGTTCCTGAAGGAAGTTATAATCTAGCTGGTGTCTGGGTATCTTGGAGGGAGGTGTATTTCAGTGTAGATCACAGTGGGCAAATACCACCAAGAATGGTGGTGCAGGCTTTTTTTTCCCCTGTGTAGCTGGACAAGAATTAGGGACAGAGACTGGAGCATCTGTGTGAGTAGGAGTAGCATAAAATCTGCTTGAAGAGGGGCAGAAAAATACAAACATCAGGAGGAAATAAGCAGATCTTGCTTCTGATCTGCAGACAGAGAGGCAGAATTTGCAGGGAAGAGCTGGCATGTCCAAAACAGATGAGGTGGCCTTAGAGAAGAGTAATTATGGGGAGACTCACCTGGCACCCATGTGATTGTTTGCATTCCCCTCTCCTGCATGTGCTCAGCCTTCCTGGATGTCCATCCCTCCAAATAACCAGGCAAGGGCTCATCTCTCCCCTTCAAGTACCCCAGAATCAGCAGGGGTGGGAGGATCTCTGCTGATTCTGGTCGAGACAAAATTATTTGGGCTGCCAGACCAGAATCTACAATAAGATACAGCATTTGCCTCTGAATTTGTAATTCTTCCAGCTGGTTCCCTCCAGGGGCTTCCAAGGGTGGGGGGTCCAGCAGTCTTCAGCCCACTTCCCATGGGCAGTCCATGCCTCTGAACCCCAAACTGCTTCTTTGTCTTTTTTTAATTGGAGCTGCATGGGGAAGGAGCAGGCTAAAGGGCCAACAGAATTAGAGTCTTTTCCACTAATAGCCTGAATCCCTGATGAACTTGTCAAAGCGGGGGAGAAGGGGCTGTGCCAGAGCATCCCTAAGGGGGGCATTATGCAAATGCAGAAATTAGTTGGAAACAGCCTGAAGGGAAACATGTGGAAATTTAAATCCAAGGAAGAGCATGATCACTGCTGAATAACTTATTATAGATTCACAGCCTCTGCTGTAGCTGCCTGAGCAGAAGGGAAGGAAGCAAAAAGGCAACAAGACACAGCAGTCAGGGAAGGTTCAAGCTCCAGAAATTTGACTGAGCTTAAAAAAAAAAAAGTTAAATTAAACTACCAGTGGGTGTGGAAGAAGTGACTCTTCACCCCCTTCCTCCTGCATTCCCAGAGAAGGGGTCCCTCTCCCAGCCAGGACCCTCAGCTCAGCAGCAGAGCTCTGTAATGGTCCAGATCCCACAGGGGATACTCAGAAATTTGGGGGAAAGGAGGAATAGACTCAAGTTCTGGCCTGGCAACATGTCTAGCTCAGAAAGGAGGAATGGAGGGAGCCTGGCAGGTCACTGCTGTGGGAGGTGATGCGGAGGGCAGAAAGTGCAAAGATGATCTTTGTCTACGTAGAGGGGCGGTGACAAAGTGAGATCTCTGGTGGCTGATGAAGGAGACTTTGGGGTCTCTGAGATGGGGATGGAAGAGGGTTGGTGAAACAGTGATGCCAATGCCCATGTCCTGGCTCAGTTTCCCCACCAGTACTACCAGCCTTCATCCTAAGCCAGTGACACTGAGTGACAGATGTGGACAGTCACCAGAAAGCCCATTCCCTGCCCCCTTCCCCAAATCTGTGCACAAACACCCCTCTCTTGTTTCACACACTCTGTGGCCTTTGGCTTGCCACGAGTGCCATGACCAGGTGTCCCAGATGCCCTCCTTGCTGTGAGGACAAGAACTTGGGGACCAAGCCAGCCCACTCCCTGGACTGGTTGAACATCCCCTCCATCCCTCCCCTGCCTTGGAGATGCTCCTTGCTCAGCCAGGAGCTCAGAGCAGCACTGTCTGAGGTTTGTCTCAGGACTTGGTTTCTTTTCACAGCATTGGAAAACACATTGTCTTCCAGCTTGAGCTCCTTCTGTAACCTCCACAGCACCAAGGTGAGCACTTCCTGCAGGCCATTCTCTTCAGAAGCAGCTGAGGACAGGGTGGATGAAGCGTGGGGGTGGCCTTTGAATCCTACCCCCTTCTGCATGCAGCCAGGAAGAAAGCTGCTGAGGAAAGAAGCACCAGCCCCTCAGCACAGATCTGAGTGATCAATACATCTGAGCTGTCACCTGCTCTGCTGCCACTGCTCACCCCTGGCAATGCTGTGGTGTGCCAAAACAGTCTCACTGCCTACAAACAGGAGCTGGGGAGTACTGATGGGGGATGCTGGGATGGGGCCATGCTGGATCTCACTCCTCTTCCCACAAGGATGAGGTGAGAGGATGGCAAAGGGGGGAAAATATGGTGTGGTTTGTAGGGGACTCAGAACCCCTGTGGGACACTGTCCCCAGCCAATGGGATCCACTAGGACACTCCCACACACCCCCAGCCAACCTGCCCCTCCCTGGGGTCAGCCCCAAGGTGGGTGATGTGGAAACTACCAGATCAGGATACGGGGTGTCCTTCCTGCTGCACTCCCAGCACCCTCACTCCCTGGGAGGACAAAGCCACCACCTGCTCTTCCACCAGCACCCATCGGGGGGTGGGACTGCAGCCATGCTGGTGGAGCAGAAATGCCTTTATTTCACCCCCATCTCTCATCTGAAGGATGGGGAGGAAAGAGACTTGGGGAAATAAAAGCAGAGTGAGTGCTTTGGCTCACTTAATAGCATAGTGAGTGTTTTCCCTTCACAGTAATCCAGTGAGGAAATAGCTAATTATCTGAGACAGGGCAAATTTTTATTTCTGTCAAAAAAAAAAAAAAAAACCTTTAAAAATCATGTAGCAGTGCATCTCTTCACTAGTTTATCTTTTCCTCTTTGCTCCCCAAAAACAGCCTGCAGTGGAGAGAACATGGGGAGGCACAGCCTGTGGCAATGCCATCTCTCCTGGGGCTGGTGAGAGAGGATTTTTGCAGAGAGAAGCCAATTAAGAGCTATTGCTCAGGCAGGCATCAGCTGCTGGGAAATCAGGAGCTTCATTAGCTCTGCTCTCACCACACACACAGGCACCAGCTCACTCTTGCACAGACTCTGGCAGCCACACGTGCCAGAACACACTGCTGGGGTCAAGCTGTCCCCATGGGGCAAGAGGACAAGTGCTGTGAGAAGGAGACAGAGCACCAGGAGGGGACACCTTGCTGAGGACAAGGCATGGTCTCCATGGTCTCTGGTGAGTGACAGGGCTTGCTGTGATGCCTCTGGAGGAGCTTGGTCAGTGAGGGTGACACAGGAGGGTGTTGGCACCACCCTCCTCTGCCCATCTATCCCTTGTGGTGCCAAGGGGCTGTACCCAATACAGCCCCCTCTCCACTGCTCCACTCCATGTCCTGCTGGTGTCCAGGCACAGGGACACTTGGGGACCAGGTCTGCAGGTGTGCTGCTCGTCTGAGCCGACCCTGGTTTCGCTCCTGTTGATGTCTGGGATGGATCTCAGAAGCAAAGAAGGTCTTTGCAGAAGAACCACAAATCCCCTTTAGCAGGTGTATGCTGAAGATGCAATTTAAATATTCTCATTGATGGTACTTCAGAAGATTTGGAGACTCAAGACTAACAGGTGTCAGAAACACCCAGCTTGGGAGTTCCTGGGCCAGACAGAGCCTGTGTCTCCCCACCCAAAATCAGCAGGATCTCCCCTGAGCAGAGAAGCTGGAGCTGCCCCTCCAGCTATGACAGAGAGTGGGATAGGGATGAGGATGGGATGGGGGCAGTGTTGGAAGAGCCTCTCTTCTCCCCCCACCCTGCCCATTTCTGTTCAGGAGCTTTTCTGGCTGCAGGGCTGTGCTCAACTTGCTCCCATCCTCTGAAGGCTTCCCAGCAGAAATGCCCCTGCTCTGCAATTGCTCTGTCTACTTTTGAGACACAATGCTTAATCAGTTTGTAATACTTGCAGTATTTGCTGACTTCATTTTTAAATAAATCTTGTTGTTTAATCAAAATGTCAGGCAGGATCAATCCCAGTTTCTCACAGAGGTCAGAGTGCAGACAAAGTGCTGCCTTCTCCTGGCACAGGGAGCTGAGGGACAGCCCAGTGGGCAAGGGGCCCTTCCAGCCATCCAGGCAGGCTGCCTGCCCAGACTCACCCAGTTATGGAAGTGCCTTTCTTCTCAAGCACCTGAGTTTGGCAGGAGTGTGTCCATCCTGCCACAGCTCTCCTACCTTTCCCAGCACTACAGCTACCAAAGTGATGGAAAAGGGATGGAGAGATCAGTAAAGGAAGATGCCAGGGGAGGAGAAATGAAATGCAAATATAAGTGCAGTATCTGCTGAAATGCCATCCTCAAAATGGTATATCAAAATCTAGGCATAGGCACCAAACTCTCGACACTATTAGGCTAGAAAAAGGAAAGTTTTCTTCCTAAAGTGCTTTCATACCTGACTATTTTCTCCAAAACTGCAGTATTTTCCAGATGTTGACTGTGCAAAAATAGCCTTACACATCAGGTTACTTGTTTTCTAGAAGAGGAAAGGCTGGAACACTGCATCTGGAACTTGGCCAAACTGCTGGGATGGAACCATGCCAAGAGTTGTCAGGTGGGGGCTGGTCCAAGAAAGCTAAGACAGGTATTAATGGGCTGTTGATATTTTAGAAGATCAGTTGGGCTGGAGGATAAGACCCTTGAGGATCTATACAACAATTGATCTTCCATATTTTCACTAGCAAGCTGGCATAGGAAAAAGTGTCATTTGCTAATGAGACAAATTAGGAGGGCTCTGAAATACAGAAGAAGAGTAGAGAGACTGGGCTACCTTGAAGGCAGGAGTGGTGGAGATGGGATGAAACACAGGGAAACACAATGAGGTATTGCCAGCAGGAATTGCTGCAGCAGGCAGGGAGGTCCTCAGCTGGCAGCAACCAGGGAAAGGCCTGAGCCATTGCTCTAACATGAAAAAGGCAGATCTGGTAATTGGTTCTGTAAAAAAATATTCATGAAGCATAATGGCAGGGCAGTGATGGGCCACAGCTGGACTCCAGAAGACATTTTCAGCCACAGCACATGAGATGAATTTTAATGGAAAGGAGGCAGAGCGGGAGGTAGAAGAACAGGGAACAGTGACAGTGGCTGGCATAACCTGCTGGGACAGAGGCAAATGGTTCCCCACAAATACCCCTGGGGCACAGGAGGAAAAAGATTCTGTTTGAACAACTGAATTGGCTTGGCAGCACTAGCTGCCTGTAGTCGGGACCTATGGAGGGAATTATGCAAGGGACTGGCAAAAATGATCCCTTTTTTTCCTCTCCCCACACATATATTCTTGATAATCAATTGCTGCTATGCTTGTCAGCACGCAAGCAGTTCTGAATGGTGGCTCTGGCTCCTCTATCTTCCTGCTGCTGCTACTTCTCTACTCCGATGATCCCAGGGAAGCACAGGAGCTATCCTGTGAAATGCAACCCTTTTGCCACCTTGATGTGCTTTTAAGACCAACACATTGCTCTTTGCACCAACAAACCAGCTGCCTGTGCAAAATCTGGAGGCAAAGCCGTGCTTGAGCTAACATGTATCAGCTAAATGTCCCAAAGCTTTGCTTGGGCACAATCAACTACTCAGCACCTGGGCAGGCTCTGCTGCACTGCACTGCCCACCTCCCACACTCCTCCCAGGGATGCACTGAGATGCCTTAGTGGCAGGGCAGAGGAGAGCCCCAAATGACAGGTAAGCTAAAGGCTGCCCCCTGTGTGCTTTGCAGCCCCCAGCGCCTGCTTTTCAGTCACCTTTTGCATCTTTTCTGGGGTCAGTATTTATAAGCACCTCTCTGTGAAGGAGTTGAGGTGACACCTGAGCTAAAGCTCACTGCCCAGGTGCAAAGGGGCACCGTTCACCACCCGGTGCCTGGCACTGTGATGTGGAGCAGCAGAGCCTGCCCCAAACTCACCTCCCAGCACCAGCCCAGTGTGATAGCAGCAAGACATTCACCAATCAATTCCTACAATTTCCCCCCATTTAAACTGTGCTCAGCCACAAATGACATCAATAATGAACAAGCACTCACCCTCTAGGTGGTGCCAGCTGGCAGTGATCCAACATGGCCTGCTGCCATCAAGGCATAGGCAGGGAAATGAGTATTATTCTCCCCACCATGCCTCACCCAGGCATCCAGCTTAGGGCATGGAAAATATTACACCCGGATCTCTTCATCAGGGCTTCTAAAAATTGTCTTGCAAAGGGTTATGGAGCCCAGTACCCAGAAGAGATTCATCCTGCAACTGGCCAGGTGTGATGCATGCAGCATTCCCAGTTCAGGGAGAGTTGGGTGGTGTGAAGCAGAAGCCATTCCTTCACCCTGCAGCACACTGGGCCACACCACAAAGGCTCCCCCAGGCTCTCCTGATGCTCACCTGCCCCCAGCATCACCTGACCACTACCCCTTGTGCTGTGCCATGCTGATGGATGCCCCAGCCCTGCTGTCAGGCACAGGCTGCCCCAGCCTCATGGCCATCCAAATAGGGCCCATGTTGGCACCAGCCACTACCAGCAAATCCACCCCTCCTGCTGCTTCCCTTGGCTCAGGCATGGCAGAGAACACTCTGGGGGTGTCTTCCATCCATTTTCACAGCTGCTGCCACAACCACCACTGCTGCTGAAAGCAGCTATCTCTAGCCTCCAGCAGTTTGGAGACATAGGTAATCTTTCTGCAGTAATTACCAGCTCAGTCCCTTAGAGGAGTTCATGGATGAGTCCGCCCTGGCAGCTAATTACTTCAATTACTTCCTGACACAGAGCCCAGGGCTCTCTGCAGCAGCACACAGCACTGCTTGGCAGCTCCCTGCTCCTTATGTGCCTCCCTTCCCAAAACAGCAAGTGCCACAGAACCTCTCCTCTAGGACCACAGAGGATGTGCTGGACTGGATGGGCAGTGGTGAGACCCCACCATCACCAAGGACAAGGAGCTAAATGGTTTCTTAGACATGCCCCAGGTCCAGGTTCAACACGGCTGCCCCACCACAGGACAAGCCTGAGCACCCCTTTCTCCTGCCAGGCTGCTGCAGAAGAAAGCTCAACAGAATTTTCTAGCACAGGGCCCCTCTGCCTAGGAGGCTCACAGGGAGTGAAGCCAGACTACTCAGGAACAGGACTGGGCTGCAGCAACCAGTGACAAGTTCCAGACACCTTAAGGAAAAACAAGTTATTTGTGAGCAGTTTTGGGAGGAGGTGGGGCAGAGCAGGGGGATGGATTTAGGACAGACATACCACGTGTGTTATGGCATCTCCTCTTAACACGGTCACCAAAGCTCCTAATGCCCTGTCAAAGGCCTGAGAGTAAGACAAGAGTCAGTCCTGCTGACCCGGCCTCAGGAGCTGACCTTGTAAATGCAGGGCTTGGGAAGCTCTCCCCACACATCTGTAGGTTGCTCTGAGTTCTGGGAAGCAAGACCAGGTACTGCAGTTGGTGACAGCCAGTGGTACCAGCCAGCCCTAGACATCCTACAGCTTAGTCCTGCACAGCCATGCTGACAGACAGCACAGGAGAACTCACCCACTAAGGGGATGAGGGGTGTGGAGTCAGGCAGAGACCACCTCAGCCTTACACCTCAAGATGCTCACAGGGCAGAGGTACAAGCAGGTGGTTTCAGCCTCCCAGTACACCACCACCACTTCAGGGCACAACCACCACCATCTCAGACATTGTCTGTGCACCCCTGCTGTCACACAGGGCTGGGCACACTGGGTTATCTCCAGCCTTGCATCTGATCTGGAAAGCAAGCCTTAGGCTCTTACCAGGGAAAGCACAGCTCCAGCCAGGCCTCCAGAGAGGCAACATCAAGCAGCAGACACTCCCCACCAGAAACCAGAAGAGGACCTTCTCAGGAGCAGGGATTGAGGTGTGCACAGTCTCTCCCTGCCCATTCAACAGTTTTAGAAAGCAGAGGTAGGGGGGGGGAAGCCTTGCCCAGAAATCATGCAGTGACAGTGAGAAACCACACAGGACTAGGAGTGGAAGAGTCTTTATTGCTTTGGTTTCTTACACATGAGAAATACGCATCCATGTTGCTTGCAGCACAGCACAGGGGATGCAGGGACACTGGGCACACAAGTTGCAGTCTCTCTGCATTCTCCTAGACTTCAGGAAGAGAGACCCTAGAAAAGTAGGGTAGCTGCCAGCTGAGAGAATAAAGGTTTGTGTGAAAGGTTATTGCTACAAGACCTGAAAGGTCAGGGACAGCTTCTGCAGAGCCTGCAGAAGACACTGACTCCTGGCTTAGCATTCCCAGCATACAGATTACAGTGAGGACACAAACAAGTCCCCTCATCTACCAGTCTCTTCTCCATCTAGGAAAGATCAGGGCAGCCAGAGGCAGGGACTAAAAGCAAGAGCTTCACTCATCCCAAGTGAAGCTTTTATTCTCCTTAGCTGGGAAAAGCCCAAAGATGCTTCTTACATAAAGCTGAGCACTCCCCAAACCTCTCCTCACCTACAGCTGAGCCAGTGCTACTCTGCTCACTGATGAGATGCTAGGCACCTCCATGCTCATCCTGAACATCCACATTACTCATTCAAGCAACTGCCTGGGGCAGAGAGACTTTCACATCCTCCACAATCTCATGAGGCCCAGCAGCATCCCATGACACTGGCACAGTATTACCTCCCTTGCTCATCCTCTGAGCACAAAGAAAGGAAAATTACCTGGCCCCTCTCCCTTGGGATACTCAATGCCTTCTCCTTCCACTCCTCCAGCCTCTGGCAATAGGCACTATGAGGATGCTCCCATACCTGATTGAACCACACAAAAAAGAAAGCCAGAGACTATCAACAAAACAAAACCAAACCAGAACAAAAATCAGGGAGGCCCCAACCCGGGCACTGCACCAGAGAGCCAAAGGGCACACCAGCAGAGGAGCTGTGGCCAGCTCAGGCATCCACCAACGTCAGCCCATCGTGCAGAGCGCGCTTCCACATGTAATAGGTGGAGCGGGCCGTGAGTGGGAAGCGGGCACTGAACTCCTTGTAGGTTGGGAAGGTCTTCGACTCAAAGCGCTGCTGCAGGAACAGCTTGGCCTGTGCCTTGAACTGGGCAGTGGCAATGACATCCATCACAAACATCCGGCTGCTGGCTCTCTCCGACATGGCATAGCCCGAAATGCTGGTGTTGCACGGCACGGCAGGCACTGGCTTATCTATGTGCTTGGTGGCTACTTCCACATGGCACTGAGGTTTGAGGCCTGGCTCTGCTCTTGGAGGTGCCAGGGAAGACACACGGTTCAATGGCACGCTGGAGCTGCTCCAGGGCAGGCGATGCTGCCAAATGGTTTGGCCACTGGCCTTCCAAAACCAGTAGGCTGTGGAGGAGAGAGATGGATAGCGCAGGCGGTACTTGCAGAACGGCAGCTGCCATTGCTGGACCTGCCTCCTGGCCACGTCTCGCAGCTGCTTTCTCCAGCACAGAGAAGGATGGAGCTGCAGCAGACTCCTGGATGCTGGCCGGTCTCCATTCCGTCTCTTCCTAACAGGCACACCGCTTGGCTTCAGCTGCAGGAATGGCTTTCCTATAGCTAGAGTTTTCTGGTTATCCAAGGGCGACTGGGGGTGTTTGAAGTTGGGGTTCTCCTTGATCGCTTTTCTTCGCCAGTTATAGTAAGTGGACCTGGAGATGCCTGGGAAGCTGCGTTTGAAGCATCTGTAAGGCACCAGAGTGTTCATGGAAATGCATTTCTCCAGGTAGGATTTGGCTCCTTGCATAAAGATTCCTGCTTGAATGGGATCTGGGGAAGTACTTGAGGATTTCAAGCTCCCCTGCAGATTTCTTGGCTCATTCACATCAGCCTTTTTTGGGACAACCCTGTGAAGTTCCTGCAAGCTGTGCGCCTCAGACAGAGCAGAGGTATCACCATTGACCATGCTCTGCATCTCATGCTTCCAGGCATAGTATGTGGATCGGGAGATTTCTGGAAACATTTGTCGGAAGTGCTGGAGGGGGATGACATTGCCCTCCTGAAAGCAGGACTGCAGGAAGTGTTTAGCTGCAAACCTGGCAGCCGCTTTCTGCCGGTGCTCCCGAGACTGGCGCTTCCAGCGGTAGAAGGTGCTCTTGGTAATGCTGTAGCGGTCACGCAGGTTGGAGTAGGTCAGCTGGGGGTCACTGTTCAGCAGCTCAAGGGTCTTCATGGGCTGGACAGGAGGCTCTGGTGAAGGTATTGTGGGTTCCAGCTCCTCCAGGCCAACCACAGCCACAAAATACTGCGCTTTGAAGACCTGCCGGGAGAGCTGCTGCCCCGACCACATGATGTGCAGCGTGGAGGTTCGTGGGCCACACTTCCTGGGCCGGATCAGCCGGTTAAAATACGGTCGGATCTTCAAGTTGCTCATGGGATAGATGGAGTAGATGTTACACTGCAGTACTGAGGCAAGAGCATAGACGTGCCACATGTTGGCAAAGGTGCCAGGAAAACAGGTAGCTTTGATATCAGCATCAAAGATGGCTTCCAGGATAGCCATGGGGAGGCTGGTCATCTCCGGGGTCTCCTCAGTGCAGAGGGAGTAGCGGGCAGCCTGCAGCATCACTTTGGAATCAATCATGCCATTCAAGTAGTATTGTTTGTGCAGCAGCATCTCCACCACAGTTCGCACCTGCAGCTCCAGGCTGAGGCTGGGGTTGCCCCAGAGCAGCACACTAGCAGCCTCAAAGAGGCGGTTCCCCTCACCCTTGCAAACGAGAGGCAGCATGTTACTTGGGGCATCCTCGGGATAGAGGCTCCTGGCTACCCGGTCAACCTCCAGCTCCTCTTGGAACTGACTGCCACAATAACCAGGCAGGGAGAAGGATGACAAGGTCCTCTCTGCCTCCAGCGCAGCACTGGTGAGGCCCTCCAGACCAAAGCATTCGGTGGCTTCCTGTAGCTCCTGCAGCACAGACTGCACCAGCTGGTGCCTCTGGATCATCCTGAAGGATGGCAAAAATAAAGAAGTCACTGGAGATGAAAACACTGCACACTCCAGACTGGCAGTGACCCGGCCTCCAAGTCCAGCTCCTGCCCAAAGGACAGGATGGAGGAAAAAGGTAGAGGAAAGGCCACTCTGCACATTTCAAGGACAAAGGCGGAAGCCCCAGTCCTCAGCAGGCAGACCCAGGAGTGGAACAGCTCAGCTTGCTCACCAGTGACCTCCTGTGGGCAGCACATACGGCACACAGCCTCCACTTGCCTAAGCGAAACTAAGGATTGCCTGCACCCCCGGGGTGGGAAGCCAGGTCACCTTCCACCACGGCATACCTGGTTTTGGCCTGGCATCACCCCGACACCGACCTCTCCCTGTAGTGGTTCCATCATTTCCACTTTACTACTCCCCTACAAGCACCCAGAGAGAAGTTTCCCTCAAAGGGAAAACATTTGCCATCGCTGCAGGAAAGGACCTGTGACAGAGCCACCCCGCACGGGGCCATGGGTGCACCCAGTTCAAGCACAACAGAAGATGGGGCAAGGAGCTTGCCTTCTCCCTCAGAGCAGGACACTGCAGCTGCACCCATTGCAGGCACCAAAAACTGCCACAGAACCTCGGATGGAAGTGACAGAGCCAAAGCCATGGCTATGGTACCTGAGCCAACACTAGATGTCATTTGCTGCTCAGCCGACACACACCACCGGCAAAGGAGAAGGCACGAAAGGAGGGCTTCTCTTGGATGAGCTACCAGGCAAGAGGCAACCCAAAAGTACAGACAGAGTGCAAGTATTGAGTGGGTACTACAGACTCTTTATGGAGCACTCCTCCCTGCCTGAGCCGGTCCCAGTCTTGTCCTACCTCCCTCTGCATGCCAGAGAGAGGAATGGAATAGAATATGTGGAGCTCATGGAATACAAAGGGTCAAAGCTTTGTGTTTCTACTGGATTCCACATAGGAATCCAAAAGCTTTGTTCAGCTTGTGGAATCCAGTAGTGTCCCCACCACTCCAGGGGCTTTCATGATGGCTGCACAGCTCTTAGCTCCAGCTTCATTAGTGAGCCCTCTTCAGCATCCTTTCACAGTCAGACAGCTCAGACCTCTCCCAGCCAGCCTACTCTCCACCTTTTGGGCCAGTTTTCTCCCAGGGACCACAACACCTCACTCAAGAAGCCAAATCTCCTCCATTTTCTCCTAATCTTCATTCTCATATCACACCTACTATGTACAGCGTCACTTTGCAGCCTGCTCAGTTCACAGCCCAGCCAGAGCTCACCTTCTCTCAACACTTCACAGGTATGACTATGCACTCACAGCTCTGTGGGTACATGAGGAACAGCAGAAGCAGGAAAAGCAGCAGCTCTACAGTAAAGCCGATGTCCAGCCAGAACTCTCCCCATTTTCAGCCCTGCTGCAGATATGGTTATTAGTGCTGTGACATCTATGGCCCCTGGCCATGAACAAACCATATGAGGTGCCACAGAATCACAGACACATAAGAGTTCTTCATCACAAGGAGCCTCTGTGCTGCTGCCACTGAGTCTTGCCTTTAATCAGATCATAGGTAATCACCAATTGCATCCCTTCCCCTGCTCCAAACTTCTCCACAATCTCCTGCATGTCAGAGGCCAGAGCATTCTTACAGCTGCTCCCACAGCTGTAGGGCATCAGTTACTAGAGACAAACACAGGAGAATGCACACAGCTGTGAAGCAGGGAAGATAAACCTGTCCTAAAATCCTGGTCTGAGAAGGTATGGAATTGTCACTTCAGGTCAGATTTGCATTGTTATTTTCCTAGAAGTCTGTAGAAACTTTGACTAAGACTATGTTGAGTGACATGAACATGAGGAGCTGAAACAAAGGCAGAACTCAGGACAACTATAGGGCTGAGAGAGCCCAAGTCCTCCCTCTCTGTGGTCTGTCAAATGCTTTAGGAGCCAGCCACTTCCCCTTGCAACAGCCAAGGTCTGCTGAGCACTGTCCCACCAGAAGAGCCAAGAAAGACAAGACAGATGCCTTTCACCCAGAAGAGGGTGAGGACATAGTTGATATAAACTAGAGAGCATCAGCAACAACCCTGGTATTTCTGTCCTAGTAGGCATTTCTCAGCCCCTTAAAGACTAAGGAAGAGCTGGAGGCACAGCTTAATGGCCATTAATCCTTTTCTTCAGCAATAAATCCACAGCCTCAATGTCACTGTCAGCTCCTGCTTCCCAGAGCAATCCTAAGGCAAAACCCACAGCTGAATCAGCAGCAGGGAACTCCTGGGGCAGGTGGAGAGAGGCTTGAGTAATCAGAAACAGAAGTCAGAAAAGCTGGGGGGCTTGGTTCATGGCCAGATCAAACCCAGCAGCTCTCAGCACAGAGGACCTGATGCAAAGGGAACACTTCTCCCTGCACAGCCCCAGGGAAGCATGCTGAACACGACAGACAAGTGTTCACCAAACCACCTCAGCACCAAGAAGTAACCAAGGGAGCTCTCTGCTGCTGATAAAGGTTTTACCTAAACTGGCCACTTTTGCATTGTAACAGATAAGAAACAGCTGCAGGTCACGTTCCCTCACCTAAACTGATGGGCTGGTGGCATCCAGTAGTGCAAGTTCCCCCAGCCAGTCCCAAAAATGCTCCCACCAGCAGGAATCCAGGAGACCTCAGCCCCAACTGCCCAAGACCCCATGTACCCCAGAGGAGCAGGGGTGTTCATGCACCCCAGCCCGCCTGGGTAAAGCGGCTCACTGCCCAGCCCCAGCTGCGGTTCACACCACCCCAGTGGTACAGGCTCCCCTTTGAGAGGATATTTGAACCAGCGGGACCGTACGGCAGAAGCAAAGAAGTGGTAGCCTCCAGCAGCTGTCTAGGCTAGAAATATCACCGGAGGAGCTCTAGGGGCAAGCAGCAAAGGCAGCAGGATGCCTGCTCCATCTGCCAATATTCACAGATCCACCGAAGTTCATAAATGGGACGTAGCTCACCAGGAGAGGGAAAAGCCTCAGACCCACCTTAACCTAGGCCGAAGCGCTGCAGCCAAGTCCGGCTTCG